GGCCCTGCACTTACAGGACTCTCCAAGAACGTGGATTGAAATTGTGAACCTCAGTTTCAAAGAAAACAAATAAAAATGAGTCGGGCGTCTCGATGAATTATGGGCCTCTTGTACGTTCTGAGTCGAAGAAAAAAATGAGAAGTTGTTACCATAAAATTTTTTAGTAGTTGTCCAGGGCGCGCCCTCCTTTTGTATGCGCGGAAGTAAGTAGTATTTAGGTTCAAACAAAAGTTTCGAAATTTTCAACACTTTGTGATCATGTTATAAAATGTTTATTTAGTTTGATCGTAACGCATGAAATAACCTCGCTGTGCTCCGTCCGCACGTTGTGACCTCGAGCAAATAAGTTGACCGTCCTGCCGTCCCACTCGGTTATTGAGTACATACAATCAAAAAGACTGTTGAACCTCATCGCATGGACTAATGCACGATTAAGCCTGAACCAAACTTGATCAGGCCATGAATGACGTCGGGAGTTTCAAATTGAATGTTTATGGAATGATCAAAGTCTAAGCGTATGTTTTTTGTGCCTAATTTATAACATTCCTAATTTTACTTTTCAAATTATTTATTTTTCTGTAGCAAATATTTTGCATCAAGAAGCTTAACATGAATTTGAGCTTTGCATAATCCAGTACATTATATTCTTTAAACATAAGATTCTCTCCTTTTTAAGGTATAATGTAAACCTTCTAACCCATCTCTCATACAAGTAAGTGCTCTTGAAAAGTTGCGATTTTCCAAATATGAAAATAAAAACTAAAAACTGTAAACCAGTAACATTTTCTATTTTACAAACTTATAAAAACGGTAGTTACTATTACAATAGCAAGTTGGACTTGCATGCAATTACATTATACTGTAGTCACAATAAATTTTGATGAATGTGGTAAATATTTTCTTTCCGTCATCGGTGACGACTCATATGCCTCAGGGGAGGGGGGTGAGGTGGAACTCTTCCGACTTCCACTAAAACTCGTCCCAGGCTTTCCGATGTCAGAGTCCTCCTCGTGTACATCTGTTGAATATTCCTGTAAAGCAGATCATATGATATGACATTAGGGGTGGTATTGAGGGGAGATTTGAGGGGCCACATGTTAGAAAAATCCTAGAAGTCCTGAATCCGAGTAGTCCTGCACAGTGGTCAGTTAGTACAAAGAAGATTACGTCAACGAGCCCTTAGGAGGTAAAGAAATGAAACTGCCCGTGCGTGGAAAAACGAAATTCGCGACTAGGTTGCACTACGTGACTTTGGTAATACCAGGGTCAGAATGAGCGCTGGGATTGAAAAAAGGAACGGAATAAGGTTTGCAAACACACAACTTCAAGATAATTTGCGATGCTTTTTTGGCTCTTCATCTCATACAACAATAACAAAGATCGAGGCCGCGCGAAACAACATGCCCTTTGAGCGACCTGGTACGGGCTCGGCCGATCCTAGCGTCCATTTTAATTTGACGAAGTATTAGCAACGTCGCTCATTGACTGTTCTCGTGTAGCATCTGATTGGCCGAGGAGATGGTGTGAGTTTTCCAGACCAATCACAAAGCGTGGTACATCATCAGCAATACAACCTCAGATTATCTCAGTTTGCAACTCAAATGTAAACTTTAAGCAGTTCCAAAATACCTCAAGTCTAGATTATTAATAAACAAACACTTCTCTTTCAAAAGGGTCTCTTTAAGGAGCACTTCAGCCATAAAAGTGAGTTAAGGATTACAATGACGATGAAGAAATATCAGCATAAAAGCTGTTACAAATGAGATTAGCAAAGATGATAGATGGATCGGAAGCATCATTTCAATTCAGGTGGGAGAGACGTTGATAAAGACGTAAAGAGTAGTAAAGAATCAAGAGAGTAGCACAGTCGTACCAGCAGAAGAGTGAAATGGTCTTGAGGCCGTGGAGCGCTACTCATACCTGTGCCTCGTACAGCTCCTCTTGACCGTCCTCAGCTATGTGGAACGTGCCTCCATAAAATGGAGATGGTTGTCTGCAACGAGAACAAGACAACCTGTTAAATGCGCTCAGACTAAACGGGAATAGGTCCCCTACAACAAAAACAGGACTGCTGCTTACTGCTCTTTGCTTATCCAAAGCGCCATGCCTATAGGTTGCTTGAGGGAAACGAAGTAAAGCCGCTCAGTTTCAGTCACTTTCAAACGCCTAAAATATTTATTTTTCTACCTTCCGTCCTTTTCACCCTTTTTTTTGACTTGTTTGGATCGACATGTGGCAAGAAAATGAGTTCCATTTAAAAAATTCGGAAGGCAATACTTCTCTAAACAAGATAAGCTCAAGAACGAAAGACTGATTCGTTTGCTTAGTCATGATTTTTTAGGGAAGTTTAGCATGTTTTCGACCCAGTTTCCTAAATAAATTCTCTTCTCATGATATGGTACATTTTGCTCTAGGGATACGAAGGTAAAAGATAAATACGAAAAAGGAACTGCTTGAGTTCTAGGAAGGAAACGGGGGGGGAGGGGAAAAGAGGCAGCTAGCAGGGGGACGAATTATCCCTCTTCTAAAAACTTTTTTTCTGCATTTTAATAATTCTTCTTACAACGGAGAAAATATATCACCGCAGCGATACATACACTTCTGCGTCTTCGTCTTCGGTCCTCATACCCCAATTATGATATGGGTCAACCCAGACTGGGTTTGATCTGAAATGTAACGAAAACATTAGGGAATGGTCATTATTTATCGACAGCAAAAACGAAAAGGGGGGGGGAGGAGAGGAGTTAGAAGATTTCGACCACGAATACTACCCCCTTGTAGTATTCTGACCATCCTCCTCCCTGGCAATCAGTTTTCTATAGTCCTCCCCGCCTTTATACTGTGTTAGTAACAACTGATCCCCCCCCACCCCTCTGGGGTGCTTTTATGAATTTCTTGTTCAATGGTTCAATATAAACCACCCTTTGTGACTGTAGTTTCTTTTTTTCCATGATCCCAGTGTCTTTTCTGGACAGGTTACTTCAATTAACAAATGGTAAACACCACAACGTACACTATTGAGTTATGGATGCACGCGGGAGGTTGTTAAGCACGAAAGAAGCGTAAGAGTCGCTCGAGGCGATAGCCGAGAGCGACTCTAGCTTCTTGAGTGCTTAGCAAGCCTCCCAAGTACATCCATAACTCAATAGTGTACGCTGTGGTGTTTACCATTTGTTTTATAACATAACATTGAAACATTGTAGCTAAAGAGTTCCCTTTTGTGTAACAAATCTTACGCGACCAGAAAAAACAAGCGCGCGCGGAAAAATAGTCTTTGCATTTGCTCACGTCAGCAGCGTACACCCATGCATGGGCAGATAGGGGACGCTAATTTGACCAATCAGAGCGCGCGTTTTACTTTGATTATGTTATAATTTAAAATGGAGTGACTATATCTGGAAAGCTCCAGGAGGTTGCTTAACTTACCCCTCAGAGATGCGCGTATTCGTGGCAGGAATAGATGATACTGTTCCATTGTTGACGGAGCGTGATCCTGTTTAGGAATAAAATACAGTGATTTGCTCTTTACAGTAAAGGAAAATAATGCATGTTGTAGAAGAGAGACCCTCTGTATTTAAATGTGCATTTCAATGTTTGTTTTATTGAAGAAATAAACGTAAAGGAAACAAAAGTTCTCCAACGAGACTGTTTCACGTTAATATAAAGCTTATTTTGCGTTTATAAGGTTGAATACTGCCATAAGCTCTGGCAAAGACGCATGTTTTAGGCAACACGCAGAAGATAGGATAGTTCAATTTTCATTAATAATTAAGTGTACAGAGATCCTTAAATACAGGAAGATAGCGAAACCAGATTACTGACCTCCATAACTAGCTGCAGTCGCTGCACGTAATTTTCTATTTTGCCTAAAATGTAAAAACATTTTAAGACGTTGTGCCAATGCTTTAATTCTATTTCAGTCCACATATTCTGTATTCATAGGACATGAGAGCTATTCCATGCCCTAGAATTTCGTTCTCCTTTATCTCTATAAAGCTTCAATATTTCATAAGGAGAAGAGGTTGACCACGTAGAATAACATCCAGTTAGACATCATTCAAAAATCAGTCTTTTAGGTAGAGAGATATTTGATGTTTGCTGGATTGGAAGACTTACTCTTATATAATTAGATTATTTCCTCTCCTTCATTTAAGCTACGCCTTCATCAACGAACACACGATAGAAATCCCCAGCTCATAATTTTATTGCTATTTAGAATCTGCATTCAATGGCAAATGAGCAGTGTCTGAACGTCAACCAGAGAGACTGGGTCGAGTACATCGGATCGAGGCTAAGCGGTAAACTTTAATCGGGCAAGAAATGTAATTTATTGCCGCGTAAAGCATTCTCTTCTTGTTTGTCTTGACCGTGGCGTTTGTTTTGTTTTTGTTTTTTAGTTATTTTTAAAAGCTATAATGAAAAACGCATCGAGCATAGGTACATAAAAGCTGCAGATTGATGTCAAAAGAATATTAAATACCTCTTCCTGAGCTGGAAAACCACGCAACAAAATATCAAAATGATTATGAAAAGGAGAATTCCAAGACCAATGACTACAGCGAGCACTGTGGGAAATTCGTCATCTTTCTGGTCTTCAACGTGGGCCTGGAGAAAAATCCAAACATACATTTTTTTCCCGAGAACACTTTCGCGACGTGGAAAAGAATGACAAGGACGCATCTAAACCAGTCAATAGACACTTTAATTTACCTAATCATTCTAAACAACATATGGCAATCTGCGGTCTTTGCTTACATTTAGGCAACACGGAAAGTCGCAAAACTCTTGAACAAAAGTTAATCTTTCAAATCCGCTGTCTAAATCCCACAGGGATCAACGAACGCTTTTCATTCCTCTAGTTTATTCGTGTTTTTCTCGTCGCCACGTTCCAACCAATGGCGTAGCTCCGCTTTCTGCATATAAAACCACATACAATCCACAATTCCTCCATTCGCTCTGACGAAGGGCTAACGCTCGAAACGTCAGCTTTTTTATTCGTTACAGTGGTCAATTTACTATTTCAACTTAGTTGATATAACCAGTAATTTTTTTTCCATACTGCTTTATCATTGATTAACTTCATTAAATGGTGATTACCAACGGATAAATTCTACAACGTGGTGGTTAAAGAAAAGGTATTAGTTCCAAAAACCACACGATGCCTTTTGTGATTTTAGGAGATAATCTAATCATTCGAAAATTGTCGTTAACACGCTGAAGTGCAGCGATGGACGACGCCATTTTGAACACAGCTAAGAATCCTCGCCGCTCCCTTGTGACGTCACAGAATAAAACGCAAGAGATGTATGCAATTTTTCCGTATCAAATCATATCGAGCTTCTAGCTCGTGTTAGGGAAAGTTTCATTGTCAAGTTGGTTTACGCTGCTGTTAAATATGTAATTAGCATAACCCAGCCTACCTTTACTTCTTTGATTTTCCATTCGTTGAAGAATCCAAGATGCTTATGATAGTTGTTGTCTATTTTGCTAAGACGAAAAAAATAAAAGGAAATAAATAAAATCCAGCGGACTGATTTTTGGAAAAAAAATCAAGAAATTCATATACGTGTTCTATTTCTTACTCAATGACAATTTCTTTGTCAACAACTTTGTTGGTTGTGGGATCCACAGCATGGAAGAGAACCGCTGTCCTAAAATAATAATGATAAAAAGTGAATTTGAAGAATCTTAATATATGGAATTATTACACGACTCGCGCAGTCAGAGGGCCAATAACTAAAATCAACCAATCAAAATGCTCTATTACCGGTCAATATTCTCTCAGTATTGGACCGGGCACTGTCCCGAATGGTCCCGAATGATACCGCACTTGTGTCCCTTTGAACTTCAGTCGTATAATAAATCTCTTATTAACCAAGCCTGCTCGGGACCGTATGGGAAGAATGTCGGCCCTCGGTCTTTTTTGTACGGACCTCGCTGCACTCGGTCCGTACTGTCAAGACCTCGGGCCGATATTCTCCCAGTACGACCCTCGCGCTTGGTTAATAAGATATATATATATATATATGCACCATCTCTATCCCTCATAGCAACCTTTGGCAAACTGAAGCTCATGTAATCATCTTAGATGTCCAAATGTTGACTTACCTTTCGCGATCGTAATTCCCATCTTTATCCTTGTAATAGTTAATGTCATCTATGTTTATTATGTAACCGGTGATATTCTCCAGTACTCTAAGATAACACAGCACAAAGAAGAGAAAAATAAGTCAGGCTACTGAGTATAAATATGCAGAAAAAAAAAAAAACAAGATTTACATTTACCTCAGTACTAAACAAATCTAGAATGTTCCAGGTTTTTTTTAATTTGACGCTTTGTATCGATTGACAGCTATCTATAGCATATGACAGCTCTGTGCCAAAATTACATCATTCATATTTCTTGTACCTTTTTAAGTCTGCTTGATATTTTCGAACGTATTCAGGCGGTCGTCCTGTTATTATCACAGCTCGTTGAATATCCGTGAGTACATAAATCTAAAATTCAAGGAAAGAACATTATTCAATTATTTAAAGACAGCAACCTATGCTGGTTGGTCTAGGAACTCGCATCACTTCATCATACTCAGCTTTAGCCTCGCGATTTACCGCCGTTAAAGCAGTTAACAGGTATTTATTTTGACGTCTCAGTTGATGGCCTGCTGTAATTTCCTTTTTTTGGTCCTGCGACACTTGATCAAAAAATTCCTTTCAAATAAAATTACCTTGACTTCAGCAGTATCGTTGAAATACGGCTCTTCCCCAAATCTGTCCTTAGCAATGACGTTAAGAACAAACTGGATTCCAAACTTTCCCGCGTATGAGGCCTTTGCTTTGATCCAGCCAGTTTCTCGATCCATACTGAATTCCTCACTATCCTTTGTTTGCAAAAGTTCGTAGGATATACGGCTATTGTTTCCTTCGTCAGAGTCTACGGCCTGAGAACGCAAACATTTATGAAAGGTAAAAAATTGAGTTATCCTTGTTGTACTGATTATTTTGCGACGGATGCGCCATTTATAATTTATCTCTCCAAATCCCTGACAACCATTCAGTTTAACGCCATTTTGCAACCATTCAGACGAATGCGTAAGAGAAGACCTTCAAAAAGTACACTCCTTAGAACTGTGCTCAGAATGTTGAATGCTAGCCTAAGCAATTGCCGAAACGAAAGCAGTATTGGTACTGAAATCGTAGTAATTAGTTTTTAAAGATTCTATAATTATTCTTTGCTGTTCAAACTGATTCTGAATCTAGTTTTGTGGTGGCAACTTTGAGTAGTACTGCACGAAGTGAAAAGAAATCTTCTCCTTGACCTTTCCATCGGCAAATTAGAGTTAAATTTCCCCTTAGGGTGGTTAATTGCGATCGCACTTCAAAGAGTAACTTACAAAAACTTGTATTATGTTGCTTCCATGTTTAGCATCTTCAGAAACTCCTAGAACCAAAGAAAAACGATAGTGAATGAATGTCATAAAGGTAGTCTAATTAATTTTAGGAAACTTAGTCTTCGAAGGCAAAAGTGCGAAAGCCGAGAGGGCGGGAGTCGATCATCGAAGGTCGAAAGTCGGAGGCTGGTGGTCGGAACTCGGAAGTCAGAAGTCCCTCCTCGGCTTTCGTACGAAAGTATTGTTTTTCTTCAAATCTAAAATAATGTTAAATTCTACCTCCGGTGTAAAGTTTCTCGGTAAAGCGAGGACCATTATCATTTTGATCCGCGATTTCCACAATCACCAGCTGTACGCCTAGGTCATCTGTTAAAAAATATTATATATTGAGAGATCTGAAGGTGTTAAAAGTGCCAAAGGCAAGATTTCCATATAACCCCATATATTCATTATGCATATAGTGTTGCAAAGAAACCTTAATATTTAGTCTTTATGAAATGGAATACATAATAAATATATATATATATATATCTATATGGGGTTGTATGGAAATATTTCCATGCCAAATAAAAAGAAAAGCAAATCAAAACAACAAACATATTAAGAAATGGTTAAACTTGATTACCTGGTAATGGTGCTTGAGTCGTGTTAGTTTGATTCGAACTAGTATCCGGGGCCGCTCTTCTATTTCTCGGCTGCAGGGAGACTGGGTCGAGCTAAAGCGGAAAAGACAACACTGGACTTAGTTTTTCGTGCAAGGGTTACCAACTGTGAATAGTTTTACATCATAAGTGTTGTGAACGAACCTTTACATTCGAAGATTTTATGTAAAGGAAGAACTTCGCTTTGTCCTCCCGATCCTGTCAAAATCAAATCGAACTGTAAGCATGATTTGTTATTCATGACCTACAAATCGGCTTCGGCGATCAATTAAAACAATCCAGTTAAAAATTAATATTTTTCAAAGTCAGATATTTTAACAGTACTCACGGCTTGTCGAGTTGTGCGCAGCACTCCAGTCGTCTCATTCAGAGTGAACATGGCTCCACTGTCTCCACCTGCAAAGATTATAATAGCGATCCAAATGAATAAATTAATATACTGTGTGAGATAAATCTCTCTTTGGTGTTGGAGTGTGAAAAGCATGAGCTAAACACGCGTCGAGATCTTATCTATTTTCTCATCTGTGCCAATGTAATTATTTGTTTTCCTTATAAGACGTAGAAAATAATTCAAAGTATCATGTCAACTTTGCATTACAGGAACCTGCTGCAAGAAGAGAAATATTTGCCTCATTTCTGTATATGCGAACATCAACAAACCAATGAAAATAATTCAATGGAATGAGGAATTGAATAGATGTATGGAAATAAAGAGGAGCAACTTCATCTTCATGTACTTTGTATGTAGTAGTATATGAGCCCAGCCTGATCTGCATCAAAAGCTGCTATTGTTCCAACTACAGCTCCCGCTGGGAGGTTTTCGCCAACTGATAACGTGACTTGACGCTGAACATAAACGAAAAAAAAAATAATTTTAAGCATTTTTTTAACCAATTAAACAACAAGTCAAAATTTTCCTTGTAGAGATCTTTTTTTATTTGAAATCTGACAGGCTTCAGAATCGAAACAAATATTTGTTTGAAATCAGCATTTTAGGGCGCAAAAGCCATGAGACGAAATCGAGGCACTTGAAAAACAATCTTTGCCTAGTATTAGGAATAGGTTCCCAAAGAACCTAGAAAAAACTTCTAGACAATATCTCCTTAGCAGACGTCGAATTACGTAAATATTTTAATGCAAAACGTAATGAAACCAAACAAACAGCCAACAACAAAAACTACGGATAAATTCATAACACTCAAAACTGTCATAATTTTAAAATCAAGCATGGTCCCATACCTTGACAAACACTGGAAGGTTATCATCAATATTCTCTAACACAATGGTTATGGTTTTTACGCTTGATCGAGGAGGACTTCCGAGATCTTTAGCTTCAATTGTGAGCTGAAGAAACAACGTAGAAAGTCAAGATAATTTTTTTGCTAAAACCTCTTTCTTTTGTTTTTGTAGCTACCACCTCCTATGGGAGATAAACCTGCAATACTTGTCGAGATGAGTGAGTGAGTAAGTGTAACAACAGAATTCCAATCTTGACCCAATTTGGACCCTAGGTTTCCCGATGCTTAGCTTCTAATTGTTTTTTGGAGCATCTTAATGAGAAGTTCAACGATCGCACTTGATATACACACGAGTTCTGTCCTTTGTGGTTTCTGGCTTAGAGCCACTAACACATGTTTTGAGCTCTTTCCGTGACATCACAGAAGACAGCAGAAAGCGATAATCGTCTAACAATCATTTCAAGATTTCTGCGCAATTTAAAACTTCCGGTTAGCTCAATTGGTTAGAGCGCCAGATTGTGTTGTGCGGGAGGTCGAGGGTTTGAGCCCCAGCCGGACCGATACTCATGGTCTTAAAATAACTGAGGAGAATTTGCTACCTTTCTTTAATCAAGAAATGGATAGATATTCTAGTGTTCTCGGATAAGGACGAATAAACTGTAGGCCCCGTCTCCTGCAGGGTTAGGGGTAGGGGACGTTAATTTCCCACGCACGAGAATACTGTGTTGTGGACGTCCTCCCTTGGGGTGGGATGGGTGGGAATTAGCCCTGAAAAGCCCCCATGGGGAGTGGTCAACTAACGTATGTATGTATGTAAAACTGACAAAAGTTTTCCTTGCAGAAATATCTTGTCCAACATCGGCCACTAGCGTCCAAAAACCTAAATCCGCCACTAGTGTCCAAAACCCCAAATCGGCCGCTAGTGTCCAGAACCCCAAATCTACTACTAGCGTCCAAAATCCATAAACTGGGCACTAGTCTCC